CTTTTCCTTGGAGGGGGAGCGCTTGTGGGTGGCTTCTGGGTGGGCCTGGGGAGGGCTGTGTGGGGCAGGAGAAGAGCTGCTTGCGCCCACTCGGACACAGCCCTGAGGGCCCTTCGGACAATTCCTTTGCTTCTAGGTCCCCCCCTCTCCCCCCCCCAGCCGAAGAATAACCGGACTCCTCGTGCTGCAGATCCTCCGGAGGGCGGGGCCCCTGGGGGCCTCTCGGGCTGCTGACCACCAGCCGCGGCTCTTGATGTCCAGACTCAACTCTGGGTGGAGACACAAGAATTGCGTTCGGACAATCACGAGCCAGGGCTCCAGGTTGTTGTCTGGGGGGGGGGGGGGGAAGAAGCGAGAGGCCACCATTGACTCTGGGCCCCGGCTGGCCCCGGACAGGAGGCGAACAGTGCGGTGTGCCCCCCACTCCCCCCCCAAGGCAGGCGCTCTTCCGTTCTTGCCCCTGGCCGGTTCCCCCCAATTCTGCCCGTCTGAATCTTTCCAGGGAGAGACCATAGGATAAAAGTCTTTTGGAAGGGACCCCGGAGGTCTTCTAGTCCAACCCCCTGCTCGGGCAGGAAGCCCGATGTGCCATTCCAGGACAAACGGCTGTCCAGTCTCTCCTTGAAAACCTCCAACCAAACGGCTTCTGGTGGCAGGTTGTCCCGCTGGTTGATTGTCCTCCCTGTTAAGGATGTTTCTCCTTAATTCCATGTTGCTTCTCTCCTGGATTAGTTTCCATCCATTGCTTCTTCTCCCCCCGCCTTCAGGTGCCTTGGAGAGCAAATTGGCCCCTTCCTCTTCTTCTTTGGGGGCAGCCCCTCAAATTTTGGAAGGCTGCTACCTTGCCCCCCCCCCCCAATTCTTCTTTTCTCTAGACTGGACATCCCATTTCCCCTTCTAACCACTAGTCCCGCTGACCCCCCCACGAGAAGTTGCTTCCCGTCACCTGCAGTTATGCGGTTCCTGTCCTGTCCGGCGGGGAGTCTGCCCACCCCCCCCCCCCGGTTGGGTCTCCCTTAAGAGCTTTCCGGATTAAATGTGTTGTGTTGGACGCGTGTCGTGCGCATCGTTTTCAAGGCGTGGGGAGGAGGGGGGGGGGCAGGCAGGGTCTCTTACCATGGGCCCCCAACCCCTTCCTCTTGTGCCAAAAATTTATCCCCCCCACCTTTTAAAACTTTTTATTTTGCAAATATTAATAATGTTAGCGGGGGGGGGGGATCCACATCAATTTGGCTCCTTCAAACCAAGCCTCTTCCACGCATTCTGATTTTCCTGCTAGCCCCCCCCCCCCTGCCTGGTCTGTGTGTCCAAAGGGAAGTTTTTATTCCCTGAAACAAGGAAACCCCCCAACTCAGGGGGGGGGGTCTCCAACCTTGGCCACTTGAAGCCTTGGCGGACTTGGCCTGGGGAATTCTGGGAGTTGAAGTCCGCCATGGCTCCGATGACCGAGGTTGGAGACCCCCCTGCCGCATGGACGTGTGTGTGCCCTGAGCTGTGTGTGTCTTTTCTAGATGGGCCTCTGGGGAACCCGGGGATGCCAAAGGGCCGGGCAGCTGCTGGGCAGGCCATGGTGGTGGGGGCGGTTCTGCTGGCTGCCCGGAGGAAAACTCACCACACAGAAGGGCAGATGGGACGGCCAAAGCCAGGTGACCACCTTCCCTTGGCGCCTCCCTTTCCTCCCCCCTCCCTCCCTCCCAGGCGGGCATCCCTCAGCCCTGGCACCTTAAGGGCAAAGGGGTCAGAAGCAGGGGGCTCACTCCCTGGAGGATTCGCGTGCAAACATGGCTTTGGCGAAAGGATGCTGCATGGGGGAGGGGGGGGAGCCAGCCAGAGGCGGCATTTGCCGGTTCTCCACACTACTCAGAATTTCCGCTACCGGTTCTCCAGAACCTGTCAGAACCTGCTGGATTTCAACCTTGGCTGGGACTCCCCCCCCCCAGGTCCCACATCCCCCTACATTGGCTGCTCCATCCACAGCCGGGGCGACGGGGCTTGGCGCACGATGCCTTCCTTCGCGGGCTCCGTCCGCAGCTTCTCTCGCCGCCGCTTTTCCGTCCGGCCTCCAGATGTGCGCGGAGCAATTCCTGAAAAGAAACCCGGGCGTGGGGGGGGGGCGAGTGACGTCATCCTCCCGGCTAAGGCCGTCCCGTTAAAAGGCGGGTGAGGGGCGGCGGCTCCCTTGGTGCTCCCGCGGCGCTTCCCGCCGGCTCCCCTCCGGCCCCTCCGGCCCGACCAAGGCGACTCGGAAGGGCTGCCCAAAAAGCGGCAGGCAGAAACCCGCGAGATAGCCGGATTCAGACGACGCGCCTTTCCCCAACCCGTGTCAGCTCCGCGCTAAGAAACTCTGGGATAAGAACGAGCGGGGCTGGCCCCCCACCGCGCGCCGAGACTGGCAGCCCGCGCCAGGCTCCGAGGAAGCGGCCTGGAGGCCTTTAACTAAAGGAAGCTTAGCAAGATCGGAGCCTGGGATCGTCTCCTCTCACGCGGGCCTCCCTCGCAGGGTGGCTGGGGGGCACCAAGGAAGGGGAGTCAGGGACAGGCACGGGACCACCGGCTGCCCCTCTCCTCTGCCCGTGGGATCCCACTGGGGCTGGACTACAGTTCCCATCGTCTAGCATATGGGAGCTGTGGTCCAATGCAGAGTATCCTCGTAGCTTAAGAATGGGAAGTCTACCTTGAGGCCATCTAGTCCAACCCCCTGCTTGGTCCAGGGAAGCAAGTAACAGGCGTCTCTGCAGCGAATATGGGGACCAGGCCAGCCAGCCCCCCCCCCCCGCGATCACGTGTTCCTCGTCCAGCTACTCCCTTAACTTGGATAGCAGCAGAGGGATTCCGGGCACCATCCGCCACAGCCCATCTGCTTATGGGAAGAACTAAGGAGGGGGCCAGTTGGGGGGGCAGCTCCCCTTGTGGGGGTCAGAGAGCTTCGGTGCACCCCTCCATTCCCCTGGGTCTGAAAGCGGGGTCCCGTCTCAAGAGGGGGAAGAACTGGAGCGCTCCGTTTTCAAAATGTCCCTTCCATGACATGATCAGCCCCAGACGCTCCCTCAGCTCTGCTCCCCCAAACTCCCCTGCAGGGCTGCCCCCCGGACCAGAACCGGCATCCGCCCTGCCCCCCCAAGAAACGGCGTTCCGGACCATCCCTCGCACGGCGTCTTCTGCCCCTGGCCGGGGGGGCGGGGGCTTAATGGGAGCCGACGGAGCCCCTTCTCTCCCCCGGGTTGGGAGCCGGGAGAGCGGCTGCTTCGGGAGCGGCTCGGCCCCAGAGGAACGGCGGGACGTTCCAGGCGCTCCACAAGAGCAGGGAAGGGGCGACCGAGACCGCAGGAGGGACCCCCCAGGCTTGGAAGGAGGACTCCCTCACCGGGCGCGGGCCGCCCTTGTTCCAGAGCCCCCGGACGCGGGAGAGCGGATTCCGACGAGAGAAGAAGGAGAGATGCGGGGCCAGCAGCCGGCGGGCAAAAGGCCGCCCTCGCCTGTACAGAGCCTCCACATTCAAAGGCAGTCTACCCCGGAATAGCAGATCTTGGCAGCCGTCTCTATTTCACGGGACCCAAATCACCCGCAACCTCCTAGAAGGAACGGAGCCCCCCAAATAAGGGCAGCGGTGGGGGAGCCCCTCGACGTCAGCCCGGTAACTGATTCTAACCCTCCCCCCAGCCACGCGCGCCCCCCCCCGTTCCTGAGTCCTCCCNACAGTCCCGCCAGAGCCAGGGGGGAGTGGAGACACCCCTCAGGTGGGGGCCACACATACCTGGTCCAGGAGAAGCCCCCACCCCCTCAAAGGCCTCCAGCCCCCCCTATAAACCACCCTACCTTCCACGGTGGTTCCAAAGGCTGCCCCACAACCGCAACAGCCCCACCACCACCACGGAAGAGCCCCGCTCGTCCGCTCACCTGGTCTGGGAGTAGCCCCCCTTCTCCACCAGGATGGGGTGAGGCCGGAAAACCAGCTCGATCTCGCTGCTGCTGGACTCGGCCCCGGGTTCGGGGCTGCCCCGCCCGCCCTCGTGGGAGGTCTCGGGCTCGGCGCACGACTCGTCGGAGGCCCGCGAGCGCTTGCAGCTGGGCCCGGCCTCCGGCTGGCTGGGCGCTGAGGCGTTGCTGAGGTGCGACCGGCTGTCACAGTTGTCCTCCGCCCCGCTGAAGGTGTTGTTGTCCGACTCCTGCGGGTGCTTCCGGACACGCTGCCCCCTGGCGGAGGACCGGAAAAGGGGTGGGTGGGAGTGGGCACTGTGAGGAACGCCAGGTCTCCCCTCTCACCCCCTGCCGCCCCCCCCCCGGAAGAGAACTGAGATGGAATAAAGCCTCCTGGCTTGAGTGGGGGTCGGTCTAGAGGACCTCCGAGGCCCCTTCCTAGAGGAACCTGGAGGGAAAAGGCAAGGGGTGCTTCCATTGCAGATTCGGGAGGGGGCAGTCCCTCTAAGCAGGGCTCGTCTCGCAGTCAAGGAAACAAATCCTAAATAACAGGTGACAACCCCCCCCCCACAAAAAAATATTTGTGGCAGCCCAGAGAGGGAGGGGAGGGTCCCCCGGCGCCCCCTACCGGTTCATGGCCTGCATCTTGAGCCCCTCCTCCATGCTGCTGCGCAGGGCCTGCTGGTTGTGCAGCCGGTTGAGTTTGGCCAGGACGCGGTCCTGGTGAGCCTCGTACTCGTCGCGGCTGGGGTAGATCTTGGAGATGAGGGCGTCGAAGTTGGGGTCGGGGCGGAGGGAGCGCTTGGACACCAGCTTCTTCCGGCAGGTGGGGCACTCCTTGTTCCTGCAGGGGGGGGCAGGAGGAGGAGGAGCTGGGGTGGCACCGCCGGACCCCCTTGGAGGTGCCGCGCCGCCAACCCCTCGGGCCCCCCTTCCTACCCGCTGCGCAGGGCGGTGACGATGCAGTCGGAGCAGAAGCGGTGCAGGCACTCCTTGGTGGTCATGGTGTGCTTCAGCATGTCCAGGCAGATGGGGCACATCAGCTCGCTGTGGAGGCTGCGGGGCGACACCGCGATCTCCGTCCCGTCCATGACGGCCTCCTGTGTAGAGAGACAGGGATGTTAGCAAGGGTCGGGCCGCCTGTGGTGGCGGGCAGAGTGCTCTGCCAGCAAAAACGGGCTGCCAAGGCTCCGTTTTCGGCTGGGACGGCCTCCTGCAACCCTCTGCCGGCGAAAAGAGAAAGCGGAGAAAATGTGTGTGCGGCCCTCCTGACCAGGGTTTTCACTGGCAGACGGTTGCAGGAGGCCGTCCCAGCCGAAAGCGGAGATTGAGAGGCAACATTTGCCGGCACACCACGGGCTGCTCCCTCATGGCTTCAAGGGCAGCCTGCGGGCCAGAGCTAAGCATTCTGCGGGCGGCATCCGGCCCGCAGGCGTTGAGTTTGACACCCCTGCTGTATGGGGCAGCCTTTGGCCACTGCTAATGTCCCAGTTAACGCCAGTCTTTGCCGAGTTGTTTCTGAGGTGCGACGCAAGGGCCAGGTCGCAACCTCCAAAGCCCTCCCTGGCTTGAGTGTCTGGGGGGTGCCATGCCAATCAAGAGACCAGGCCAGGTACGGCCACGGGTGAGAGGCCCCCCCCTGCCCCAATCACATGCCAATGTTTGGAGGAGGGTGGGTGGCTCCTACTGGTGCCGTCCCTCCGCCCTGAAGGCCTTCCCAATTTTTATGGAGGGGAATTTGTGTGCTTCCCCCCCCCAAGGCTCCCTCGACCGGAGTGGGGCTCCAGGGAAAGCAGCCCCGTGGCTGGCAGGGGGCTTGAACCCCCCCCCCTGCCCTTCTCCTGCCACTTGGCCCCCCGCTCCTTCCCCCCACCCGCGGTCCCTCACCTGGGGGGTACGGTGGAGTTCGTAAAGGCTGAGCTCCCAGGTCTTGCTGGTGG